CCCCCCCCCCATCATCTTCTCAGATTCCAAAATGGGTATCCAGTAATGTTGAAACATCATACATGCACAATAGATTTGCATTACATGCCACTCCACTGATTCCTGACACAGCCCTAGTTATATGCCGCTGGAAGGGCACCAACAAAAAATTCTCTAGAAAAAAAGGGAAAGTAATGTTTTATGAGACTTTTCACCTTCAGCTCCATTTTCCTATTACACAACAGGAGTGCACTTCTGAATGTTAGAACCTCTGTGATATAGACAAAAAAAAATACCCCTGCTGGTAAGATTCCTCCTCACTTCCTGTCCCAGTGGCTGTGGTCACTAGGGCAGGAAGTGAAGGGAGCACAAGAGGTACACACACAGAGATAAAAACTAGATAGAAAATGAAAGAAGTTTTGTCTAAAACCAAAGTGTAACGTTATCATTTTCCCAACACACAAGTCATGGATCACATGGACATCTGAACATTTGGTTGGAGTATTTATTCGGCTGAATGCAGTCACCCACTCTAATTTATACATACTATACTCTCTTTACACACATGGCTGACTCAGACTAATAACTTATCTGGTGTCCAGCTGATGAGTATTTTTGCCTGCTGAATATTCCAGCTGGTATATCATCAGGGGACACAGTTGAAATAGCCTGGTTTTACATTCAGTTTAATTATGGCTTAAAGGTTTTATGCTATAGGAGTCGCAGCATAAGTGGAATCATCATCTTTCATGACAGTGTCTATAGTTCTTTACTTCCAAACAGCACTTAAAATTATTTACAGGTAAAAAAAAAATGTGAAAAAATGCTCTCATGCGCACAGTTCACCTGAAAAATGTCCTGTCAAATTTATATGCTATATAACTGGATAGGCTTGCAGAGTGAGGCATTTTTCCCCTTTACAATGCTTCTTCTATGTAGTCGCTTTTTAATCTTGTTTTTGTCTGACCCACAAGTAAAAATGTCCATGTTATTACCAGAGATAACAGGCCTGGTATATTTTTTCACAGAAAAAAATGAACCTCAACTTTCTAATGTTTAGATTCAATAGACACTGGTGGCAGATGAGCACCTAGAGCCTGCTTTGTTGGAGCACGGTGCACCCACATTCTATGCGATGCATGGAACATGTGACCATGGCTCAAATGCTTCAGATAACATTTGGAAAGCCACTGCCCCACAGCGTTATGGCTTGGTACATTTATTTGGCTCCCAAAGTTGAAGAGTTTTTTTGGTAGGGGTCAAAGCAGCCTTCCATAGGGCAATATGTGGCTCTAGGTAAAAACAGGGCACTCGCAACGGGATTCATCCATCCAGTACTTTATTTGCAAAAAGGCATAACAGCAACAAACAAACAAATGCTTAAATGTTTCAGCCCCCAAACTGCACCTTAGTCGTAGCACCATGCTACATGTGGCTCTGCCCACTTCCTCAGAGAACACAGTGATGGGTTACTGAGTGTGCAATTGCCGGGCCTAATTGTTGCCATACTGGGGATGGAGGAGGATTCTTATACCCATGGGGGCTTCAGCGCAGACTGACCCAGAGCATACAGGGCTTATTCGTGAGGCTCTTGTGAGTGAATGGGGGGATGGGGGGAGTAGGTATGAGCAGCGGAAAAGATGAGCTATCACACTGTTTTCTTTTTTGACGAAACTCAATGACTTTTTTTCAACCCAACTATGTAACTTGACTTTGAATGGAAGAAGTACTGGTTTGCATTTTTTCCTAAATGGCTGTTACCTAAATATCTTCCTCTCTCTCTCCTGCACTGACTAAAACAGGTTTCTAGCAGACATCTAAGGCACTCCCATTATCATCCTTTAGTTTTTACTTGTGTGCATGATGATGGGAATTTAACATAAAAGGATAACATATAATTATGCATAACACAGTCTAAAAATAAGGTTAACATTTCAATAAATATATGTATACATTGTAATTTTTATTTTCTTATCTTCCTGGAGCCTGGTGTATTCTGATGCAATCAACATTCTGGAATGTATAAACATCATGTGACTCCCTTTGTATTTGCAGAGTATGGCTCATAAATTAGTTAAATGATGTCACCATATCGTAGAAAAGTTCTACAGTACCCGTAGGGTGAATGGGAAGCATGTCTGCCTTTCAGAACTAGGCTTCTGGTTGGGTTTGACAAAGGGAACTGCATGGAATATTTATGTTTTCCATAAGGTTTATTTGGGTCCTTCAATTTCCTCTCACACTCCAAATACATATTGATAAACATATCGGGCTTTTACCCAAATTGACCTTAATGTATGTATAGGACTTTGATAGCGACATTACACTATATGCTTATTTACAGAGCATTATTTGGTCAGTTTATTTTGTAGGAAGTACCGGTACATGTGTGTGATATAAACACATGTTCTAAGCACATAAACTGAAATTGAAACCTAAAAGAAAAACTGAGGTTAAAAACATTATTTTTTGCTGCTTAATTAACATCTTTCTACACACTAAAAAAAAAAATAACCATGTGAAAGAAACCTTAGCCTAGTATTCTTTTAATCCAGATCCTAAATCTGAATTTGGAGATTTTGTTTGTTTGATATAAGTAACACTGCTGGCAAAATATGAGTCCTATCCGAACTGCCCTCTGCAAACATACAAGTGGTTTAGTACTTTTATAAAACCAATCGACAGCCTCTAGAAACACTCGATACATAAAAGCATTAGTGCAGCAAGCATAGAAGGGAGAAAAGCACTAGTCATCACAAAGCTTTGAGCATATCACTAATAATAACCATTCACAAAGGATTATCAGATTACTAGCAGAACATATGTATTAAGCAGCATTTTCACCTATTATGTGTGAAATTAACTGGAGGACTATTATGCTGCAGCTTGGGAATCATGCTGCTTTGTATGTTGTGAATAAGTACACATCCCAGCACGTCCTGCTAACCAAGAACATTACAAGCACTGGATACAGTATATTAAGGCTGTAAGGAAGAAAAGTTCCTGAAGAGGACTCACAGCTGTCCAAAGGTAGCATTGATGTGATGGTTGAAATGTCCTCTCCTGTCAGATAGGTCTTAACTTCACACCTCCTCCCCCTTTAACAAACATATCAACTGATTTCCAGGCAACAGGGATGGCATTCTTAAACTTTGTAAAGTCTAGTCAGTGGACTGTTAAGAGTACTGATGTTTTAAAGGGCAAGTCCACCCAAAATCTAATGTTATTGATACTAACGGTATGTCCAGTAGGTGAATCAACCTTAAAGGAGAACTATGAGGTGAGTGCTTTTCACTCACCTCATAGTTCTAGCCGACCTGTGACAATGAGACTGTCACAGGTTGGCTCAGTAGATTGGGAGGTGAGCGAACACATGCCGGTGTTTGCTCACTTCTCGATCCTTTCACGGCTCTCTGCCGTGACAGGGGAGGGGATGGATTCCCCCCTCCCCGCTCCGATCCGCCAGCGCTGACTGGCGGAACGGATGGGGGAGGGTACAGCTGGCTCTGCCTCTACAGAGGCAGAGCCAGCTGTCACTTACGCAGCTGGGTGGATCTCAACATCGATGTCGGGATCCGCTCCGGCGTCTCAGTATACCGTGAGCTGTAGCTTGCGGTATACTGAGCTTAGGGTGACGGGAGGACGCTAGTTTGTGTCCCCCCGTTACCCTAAGGAGAACTATGGGGAAAAGCCATGACCCCATAGTTCTCCTTTAAACATCTCTTACTTGATTCCAGTGCCATGAGCTCTGCCGATGACTGTTTAGTTCTACACCATGGCCAACACAATGGACCACTGGTGCAGTTGCATGTACCCTGCATGATGCTCCAATCAACATCGCTTATGCTCCCTGAACAACGATGTTGACTAGAGCATTATGCAGGGGTGTGGCGGACCACTGGAGATCGGGACCAATGCACTGCAATCCAATGCATGTGTGAGGGCAGCAGCCCTAATCTACAGCATGGTGCTGGTACAGGGCAGCTTAATTTAGGGAGGCATCACTATTACACAATAAAGATAACTATGCTGCCATTTAGTCAGCCTGACTGCATAATACAAGTTAAGGGTTCACTTAGTCTTTGAGTTCCTAAATCCTTCAAATCAACAAATGCCTGAAATGATAGCTGTAACATGCATGTAAAGACAGCCAATAGAACATATTATAGTTTATAATGCAAGACTAGATTAACTTGTGGGAAAAAAAAAGACTAACCTGCACATCATATGTTCCATTAAACAAAACGGGCCTTTGAGAGTTCATGTCCTGTAAGACACCTGAAAGCACAGAACGATTCACCTTGTGGAAATCTTTGGATTGGCTGAACTGTACCATATTATGAAGTGCCAAAATTTTGGTGTCAAGTTCAACGTCTTGCCTGGTACGGTTGTGTAGGCCAAGATGGTATTTGCGAAAATGTTTGATCAAGTCTGTGGGATCATTCCCATAGTATCCATAGCCACAAATGTTGCATTTGAAATCCTGAAGCTCTGGGGACAAAGGTGCCAACTCAGAATTGTCACTGACCAACACAACAGCTTGGGATTTGTTCAGCCCTGAACTTCCATCTAAAGGCACTTTTAGGTTTTCAGAGGCCACCGAGGCTGGACTAGAGTTCTGACAGTCTACTGTAACATTTTGCACCGTGAGGTCTGCAGCCCTTGGTGACAAATCATTTTCTTCTCTGGTCTCTGAGGTATCTCCAAGTGGAGCCGAGACTAATTCTTGAGTGTCATCACTTTCAGTCGATAGGGGTGATTTTAAGGGCTCTGAGGAAGCCCTTGGATCTAAAGAGGACAAAGTCAACATATTCCTCTCCGTCACCTCATTGTAGGTAAGGTTTCTGCCCTTGAGGTGGCTGTAGTTGAGCACACCTCTCTCATTAGTTCCCAAAACCTCACAGTCTTTTTTAAAGCTTGAAGAAGGTTCTTGGTCATGGAAATTTTGATCTTCACTGTTATGTTCCACAGAATTAGACTGTTCACTATTTTCTTGCATCGGATCAGTGGGAAATTCTGAGTTCCTTAAAAGATCTTCTTGCTCTGGTGCAGCAGACTCAATTATCTGTGCTTCACCTTCGCTTGCAACGTTTCTTAGAGGGGGATTCTTTTTCCGGACCATATCTAGGAGAGAAAAAAAAGAGAAATTTAAATACCAAATCTGTTTTTTTTTCATTATTCAAGTAAACAATACTTCAAAAAGTATGGTCTACTAAACCCATTTGTAGAATCAGCAATGTTGAATTGTATCATGATTAGGAATTACCTATGAATAGCCTATTGACAAAGTTCAAAAATGGAATTGACCTAGGTCCACCATGATTATGTAAGCCTTAACAGTAGAGGTACCACAACAACATTTATCAAATAAGTTCTAAAATCAGGACACAAAAATTCAGTGCCTCTTTGCAATACATGCCTATTCCCTGTAATTTTTCCTTTTAAAAACACTGCCTGTTGTATACAATGTGCTGCTAACTTTCTTGGGTTGCCTTTTCTACACTGAAATCCCAACCAACATTGTCAGCCCTGCCTGCTGAACTAAAGACATATTTCCACCCCTCTCTATCAAACTCTATGTACATACATTGGTTTCTTTTCCAGCAAAACAATGCTGCTGCTTTGCCTTCCAATAACCTGCCCACACAGTGTGTTTAGGGAAAGGGCTTTTGGGAGATGTAGTTCTTGGGCCATGCCTCTGCAAGACATTTATAAGCCTGGTTATATACTTTAAGGGGAACTGTTGTCTTTATATTACAATTTATATTAAATATTTAATTTGACATTGGTAAACTTAGTGCCTCTTAAAATAACTTTTTTCACCAGCTATACATAATAAGAGATACACAAGGCTCCTTGACTTAACCTATTTTCTTCTCACATGAAGCACATATTAGTTTCAGCAGTCCTGAATAAGAAATGTATTTGCCCACTAGGCTACCACACAGAACAATAATTTTATATTCTCATGCCAGGCACTAAAATAGTAACATTCCTGTGCTGTGTGTTATGAATAAGTTATAATAAGTTATAATAAGTTATGAAGATCAACCCTATATCATCAGGGCCAGTGCTAGACTATTTTTCGCCCTAGGAAAGACCAGCTTCTGCACCCCCCAGCCCCCCACCCGCACCCCGCAGCGCAACCCTAAATACCCCCCATGGGTGGTGCCACTCTCCTGCCGGATAGCTTCCGCAGGCAACAGGTGGATGTCATTTAATTTGAAATAGCCAATAGCAGATTAACAATTGAAAACCCACCCACTAAGCAGAGGAGCGGACCTGAGAGAGAGAGTTGCCTCTCAGTTCCGCTCCTCTACTCAGTGGATGGGTGCAATAGCCAAGCCTGATATTGGCTTTTGCAATTTGAAATAGACGGGGGGTGCCATGGGGGGTGACTGATCAAGGCTGCGCCCTCGGCAGCGGTGCACCCTAGGCGGCTGCCTAGTTTGCCTAGTGGTAGAACCGGCCCTGTATATCATACATTTTTTATATTTTATGTTTCTTTAGGGCACCAAGGAAAAACGTATAGAATTTTTACAAAGCAGATACCATAGACATAGACAATAGCAGTTATGAGATTAAAGCAAAAAGATCTATTGTATCCGCATTACGAGCTTGAAACCACCTGTACATGATCCATTAGTTGAATAAGAAAGTTCAGTGGGAGTCTGTATAGTAGTCTTTTTTTATATAAAAAAGGAATAGGGTTAGAAGCAAGAAAGCTTCATAACATTACTGCCGTACTGTTGGAAATATAGATTGTCCAGCAACCAACATCCATCTCTTTCTTCTAATTCAATGAATGTCAATAGGAAGTAGAGAGAGACTTTAAACTGGGACTAGGACAATTGTCTGATCAGTTTAAAGCTTGTACTGAATGAATACAACTAACTGTATTGCCAGGCCAGTACATGTCAACGATAAATCATGGATCTACAATAGAGAGGAAATATTTGGATTGTGTTGACCTATCTGTAGGAAATCAAGCATTCTGCCACTGAATGTTTTTGTAGATCTAATGTTTATATTTTAAAAGAAACTGAATACAAAACTGATTTGATACTGTATTTATTTTATATACAACTGAGTACAGACTAAGGCCAGGTTCACACTTGGGTAATCGCACACAGCCTTTGCCGCGCAGCCCGTTTTTTCTGCCACGATTGTGCGCATCTGCACATGCAACATTACTCCGGAAAGCCGCATGACTTGCCGGCAGTGATTGGGGTGCCGTTAGAAATGATTGGCACCACAAGCGCGATCGGTCCGCACAGTTTTGTGCATGATTTTCGCACAGTCACGGATTGCCCAAGTGTGAAATAGGCCTCAAATTATCCAACTGGAGATTGAATCTTCCCATACAAAAACTGAAAAGCAAAAAAACCCCAAAACACTGACAACTTACAGGGGTCCTAAAATGCTTTCAATGGTGTATTTAGCAAACCAGAAGAGGGCAAATAAGAGAAGTTTATCAATAAGGTTTGTAAACACTTTAAAGGCTCAGTGTACCTTTCTGACCATGATTCAAGCTACACCCATATTTAGGGGAGGACTATTATTGTAGCCTTTAAAGGGAATCAACTAAAATATGGATACAGAAGCCTTTACTGGCTTGCTTTTCATTGTTTCGAAGAAGTCACACTCATCCTGTCTTTATTACCTAGTGAGTTATTGACCTGTCTGTGGACATTTCAGATATTCCATTTCTTCATTGATTGCATGCTTGTTCCAGGTCAGTGACTCCCTAAGTTGGAAAGTCCTGATTAGGTTGGCAGCTTTAGAACCTGCACCTTTAAAGTCATTAATGGCAACTTTCACATCTATATCATGACGGGACACCTTTAGCTATGAAAGTCCAACTGAAGCCAAAACTTTTTTAATATGTAGTTTTGGAAAGTGGAGAGGAATTAGAACACATGGTAGGTTTTTATTGCTGCCTGTATCATGGTTAGGGAGATTCACTGACTTTATTGGTCCTGGTTAAATTCCCCTGTAAATGTCAGCCAGGCGGCATCTTGTAAACAGTGCTTTAAAATGCATATTTATGCATGCCGCTACTAATTAAGAGGACAGGCTGACACCAAGGAAAGGCTCCTTTTTTTTTAGTCTCTGTTTAAATGCTTCACACAGGAATCAAGAAAGTTTTAGCAGAACCTAAATCGCTGGTGGTCAACGTGCTAGGGTTTAGGGAGTCACATGCACCCAACAAAGAGCAACACATATTATACACTGTCTGGCCCCCCAAAAAAATCACACACTCTGATATTTAGTTGGACCACCTTTAACTTTGATTACGGCACGCATTTGCTGTGGCATCATTTCGATAAGCTTCTGCAATGTCACAACATTTATTTCCATCCAGAGATGCATTCATTTTTCACCAGGATCTTGTAGTGATGATGGGGGGAGAACTACCACAGTGTAAAGTCTTCTCCAGCATATCCCAAATATTCACCAATGTGGTGGCTAATCCATGTGAGAAAATTATGTCTCATGCTTCCTGAACCACTCTTTCACAATTTGAGCATGGAGAGTCCTGGCATTGTCATCTTGGACTATACCTATGCCATCAAAGAAGAAAAAAATCAATTGATGGAAAAACCTGGTCATTTAGTATATTCCGGTAAGCAGTTGACCTCATTTTTGGGGGGGACATAATGTAGCTGAACCTAGACCTATTATCCAATGGAAGGCTCTTACCTATTTGCTTAGCTAAATCCAGGTGATTACTTTTTTGTTTTGGCCAGGCAATGTACTTTTGAAGTACAACTAAAGGCTCCTGTATGACAGCCTAAAGTACCAAATCCAGTTACTATGTGGTGCACAAGAATTATAAAGTAAAGATAAGGTCCTTTACCTTCCCGGACTGAGCCAAATCCTCATTTATTTGTGTCTCGCATGCCCCCCTTCTAAGACACTGCAGCATACAGTGGGAGAGTTTCAGCAGCAGGTAGGTGTGACCAGGCAATAACAATGTTGATAACTACGTCCCCTGGCAACATATTTGCATCCCATTGTACTGCAAGCAGGCGCAGCCTCCATGACAGTGGCAACTTTGAATTCAGGAACAGTGCAGCATTGTTGCCACATCATTACAGAAGGCTGCATTAGGTGGACTTTACTGGCAGGATCAACAGGTGGGACTTTGCAGGGGGACTAAGAGAAAACTGTAAGTCCCAATGCATGTATCATTAAGTGCTGCAGAACATTTAATTCAAGCACAGCGAGCAACAACCGAGCCATTTCTGACCATATTATAAAGAAATAAAGCGATGCGGAGTCACTCATTATAACAAATAAATATTTTCCAATATGAGAGTAGGGCCCAATCTTTTCTGTTCTCCGGTGAAGAGGAAAAGATCAAAGTACCTCAAACGTCATTGTTTGCAAAGTACTGAGGTGGGTGCTAGCACCCCAAAAACTAATTTGTAGATGGATTGGTATGTGGTGTCTGTCGGTCTTAGGAAAATATCTGCAAGTCTGTTGGCATCCCCAACTATATCTTCGAGCATGCTATCCATACCTGTAGATGTATCAAGTCTCCTCCCTCTATCAAAACATGAAGCAGACTACCAGTTACAGCCTGGCCCATTTTCACTCTAAGATCTTATAACATGCCCACTAGTGTAAGCCAGGTGTGAACGTTTTAGAGCAGCTTTAGTATAAGCGCCATTGTTATATAGCTGCCATCCAACTTGCCAACTGATCACTGCTCTGGTCTTGCTGCTGAGAAAACACAGCATGGTGGGTAAATGATTACAGATGCATGTCATAGGCTGGGAAGCATAAAGAGAGGCCAGCTGTTAATTTTCAGTAAAAGTCAAAATTTACATTCATATTCCAGATATGATATCTCATGTAGGACAAGAGAGCGGCATTTAATAGGTTGGACTAATGTCTTTATTCAACCTCAAATACTATGTAACTATGTAACTATGCAGTAAACACCTAATGGACGAGCAGATGCCAATCTATACAACATTAATTGGACATACAATGTGTTTTTAATACATGGGTTTTTGACAGGTCTACTGACAGACTTTCAGGACAACAGCTAAATAGGCAGTTGAAATACATTTCAGCCCATCTTGGGATTAAAACAACCCGTCACCCTAAGCTCAGTAT